CAAAGGACTTAAAAATCAGCATACTACAGTAATGCAGCCACATCAATGTTTATAGCAGCTCAATTCACAATAGATAGACTATGGAACCAACCTAGGTGTCCTTCAATAGATGAATGGATAAAGAAAATGTGGTATATAGAGTCAATGGAATATTACTCAGCTTTAAAGGAAAAATAAAACTATGGCATTTGCCAGAAAATGGATGGAGTTGAAGAATATCATGCTAAGTGAAATAAGTTAATCCCCAAAAATCCAAGGCCGAATATTTTCTCTAATATTTCTTTTCTAGTGCACCCTGCTAATTCACAATAAGGCAGAGCACATTAGAAAAGAATAGCATTACCTTAGATTAGGTGGAGGAAATTGAAGGGACGCAAGGGGAGGGGATGTGGGGATAGGAAGGATAGAAGAACGAAACAGACATTGTTATTTTATATCTATCTATCTATCTATCTATCTGCATGACTAATGTGATTCTACAACATGTACACTCGGAAAAATGAGGAATTATATCCCATCTATGTTTGATATATCAAAGTGCATAAATGCATTCTACTGTCATGTATAACTAATTAAAACAAATAAAAAATTAAAAAAAAAAGAACACACTGGTTCATGATAACCAAACAAAAAAGCATGCTGCTCAGGAGCCTACAATATACTGAAAACGTTTTTTTCTATATCAACCACTTAACTAAAATGGAGAAACGTTTACTTTCAGAAAATTATTCTAGCGGATAAATGAAGAAATGGTAGAATTAATGGAATACCATCCTGCCTTCCCTAGTGAATTACTGGATCATGACAATCAACATCAATCAGTAGATGCTAAACTTACAAAAAGGATAGAAGGACAGGATGTGCCTCTAGAGGGACACAAATGCTGAAAGAACTAAACATAAATCTGATTGAACTTCCAGATCAAACCAACACTTTTACAAGGCATACAAAGAATTTTAAAAATGTGTTAAAGGTAAAATGATGGCAACACATTCCCAACTGGGAAACTGAGGATAAACAACCCACTTTCTAAGAAAAACAAATGGCAAACGATAACACAAGAAACATATTAAGGAAGCTACTATTGAGAGACTTAAAAGACTTATCAATCAATCAGCATGGAATCTACCTATATTCTGAAAAAAACGAGCAAATCAAAAATATTGTTGGGAAAACTGAAATTCTGAACACTGGATATTATATACTAAAAAAGAATGGCATTGTAGGTAGTCTCTAACCCTTGTTAAAAAGACTCCTTATAATTTAAAGAAATACTTACAGATGATTTTTTCAAGCCCAAAGAAGGGAAACACCATTAAAAAAGTATCAATCAGTTTGGAAGTAACAAATATCAAAGCAGATTAAGAGTCATAGTGGATAAGAACTGGAAAGGCTGCTGGATTTGACCATAATTAAATCTTCAGCATTCCTTCCTCACAGATTCAGGAAAGTGGTGAGGATGCAACCAAAACACTCAAAAGGGAAATGTGAATGGGAAGTGAAAAAAAATCTTTATAAGATAATTATTTTTATATTGTTTGCTATGCAACCCAAATGGACTTACAGAAATATTTCAAGAATGATCAGCTCATTCCCCATGATTTAGGTTCATCTGTAGTTTAAAGGAGTAAAAGCAGAAATGTGTCTACTTAGTTCAATACGTTGGTCCCTGGGAAGTTATATGAACCAAGTTCTCCGTGGGCAGCTGGCCATCTGCTGACACAGCCAACAAGTAAGTCAGCATTGCAATGATTTAATGGTTGTTATTAGGAAAGCTATCCACAATCATATCAACTTTAGCAATGAAATTTTTTTCTGAGCCATAAGAAATCGTTAAAAGCCATAAGTAACAAAAATGGATTCTTATACTGATGCAAATGCTGCAATGGATATTGTCCCTATGGCTGTCAAGAACATCTGAGCCACGTTTGTGGCTTCATTACCTTCATTAAAGTATCACATTACTTACACATTAAGTCCCTGACAGAAGAGTCTCAGTGCTGATCTGCCGACTTTTATTGATTTCTATATTTCCATTTTAAAGTACAAATTCTTACAAACCTAAGATGCATTACAAAGGAAAGTGAAAGAAAATATACACAGAAAACTCACCTGCAATTTGTTCATTTTCTGCTGCTCTTGGAAAAGTGTAGAGATTGTTGATGGTGGACCTAAGGGAGGAGAAGCAGGTCATTGAAGACAGCAGTTACCTGGCCTGCACAGGTAGGAATTACCTGTATGAGAACCTTGAAATTAAGCTCAATGAAATCCGATCCTTCAACTCTCAGAAGAGAAAAAATGGGTGAGAGGGAGGAAGCATACACTTGTACCTTTCGAATTCCAATGTGATCAAGTGGTAATTAGACGACTTAAGATTCTCAATGATGACGGGGCTGGGGTTGTGGCTTGGTGGTAGAGTGTTTGCTTAGTACATGCGAGGCCCTGGGTTCGATCCTTAGCACCACACATAAATAAAAAAAATAAAGGTATTGTGTACAACTAAAAAATAAATATTTAAAACAAAGATTCTTGGGCTGGGGATGTGGCTCAAGCAGTAGCGTGCTCGCCTGGCATGCGTGTGGCCCGGGTTCGATCCTCAGCACCACATACAAACAAAGATGTTGTGTCCGCCGAGAACTAAAAAATAAATATTTTTTAAAAAAATTCTCTCTCTCTCCCCTCTCTCTTTAAAAAATAAAAATAAAAAAATAAAAAAAAAGATTCTCAATGGTGAACATAAACATTGACTCCTTTGTCAGCCTGACACAGGTGGGGAAAAAAAAATTCCCCTTAGAGTACTCATGTGTCTTATTGTCTCTTTAATTTTTTAAAAAGCAAACAAGCCACAGGTATTGAGAATCTGACCTTTCCTCATAAATGGAAGCTACAGAGAAATAAGGAATCTTAAATAACAATAAAAAAAGGTGGGGGGGAATCTCATGAAAACAGAAGGGAGAACACTGGAGTAAAGGAAGGGAATCAAGTGGGAGGGAGGAAGGAGAGGAGAGGGAAGGAATTGTAGAATGAAACAAACTACATTATGTTCATGTGGCCAGGGAGAAGACATGTCTTGCAAAAAGGGTGCAAGGGATTCCCAGAATGAAGGGAGAATTTGACTCAGGACCAATGGGATTCTTCGCATACAGCATGCAGTCATAGGAATAAACAGAAGTTCATTTAGGAAAGTGGATACATATTTAAGGGAGAATGGGGGCAAAATCAAGAGTCGCCTTTGGGATAAAGCAAGGAATATACATGCAAGGGAGGATGCAGGTTATCTCCAGAGAAGGAGACAGCAACTTGTTGATACCGGCTGTTATATTTATAAAGGAATAGTTGCTAGAGTCTGGACTAGAAGTAAGATCGAGCTACATAATTTCATGAAGGTTTTCCCTGCATTAGTAGCATGGGCTAAGAGGATGTTGTTCAGGAGTTGCAATTATTTATGGATGCTTTCTGCATTTCGATGGTTTACCGGCACTTCCTTTGAGACTCAGTATCTCTCCCTTTATTCATGAATTCCTATCTCATGAGTATGCACATAACACAATGAATTCCACTTTTATGTACATCTCCAATGCACCAATTTAAAAAAAAAGCAGAAGGAAGACCAATAGAGTAGAGGAAGTGGGGGAGGATGGGGGAGTGGGAATAGAGTAGTACTTGGGATTGAAATGGGGCAAACTATGTTATATTCATTTACTTATAGGTCAGAGTAAACTCCGCAATGATATATATGATGCACTATTTCTTTTGGGGGGGGGGTACCAGGGATTGAACTCAGGGGCACTTGACCACTGAGCCACATCCCCAGCCCTATTTTGTATTTTATTCAGAGACAGGATCTCACTGAGTTGCTTAGCGCCTTGCTATTGCTGAGCCTGGCTTTGAACTTGCAATCCTCCTGCCTCAGCCTCCCAAGGCCTTGGGATCACAGGCATGTGCCACCATGCCTGGCTTCGTGCACTAACTTAAAAAAAAAAAAAAAAAAGAAAGAAAGAAAAGAAAACTAGGATACAGTAGACAGAACGTTGGCTTGAAAGTGTGACTACTATTAAATGCAATCCTATCAACAAACCCCATGACCTTGATCAAGTCATCCACCATGTCAGGCACAAAGCCTTCCTCTACCAACCAAGGAAGTAAGAGATTTTTCCTTTGCTGCATTATGATTCTACAAGGGCGAGGGGGAACTCAACACAGAACTGAGGTGCCCATGGAGGTTTACTGACACACTGAGACAGAAGCGTTGAGAGGAGGAAGGGGAAAATGGGGTGCAGATATAAGTCGCAGTTGAGGCCGGTGTCCATGTGTCCTTCTAGATCTTCCCACCGAGCGCTGAAGACCGTGCAACCCGCCTTGGCCCCAAACTGAGAAACCGCTAAACCCTTCCGTGCCCCCGGCGCTAATGTCCACCACGTAGTGGCTGCACCTAAGGTCCGCTCATGGCGGCGAGCAAAACCACGACTGCCTCTTCTGAGGTTGTGCAGCTTCGGTCCCGCGACTCCCCGAGGGCAACAGAGCGCCGGGAGGTTCCAGCTGGCCGCTGCTACGCCCCGCCCGTCGCGCTGCCCCTTGCCAGGCCCTTCGGTTTCTGAAAGGCCAGAGCTGGGCCTACAGCACAAGTTGAGGCCGCGCCTCCCTGCGGGGCCCAGACCCGCCCCCTCAGGACTCACCGTCCCGCGAGCACCGGCCTGGCTGCCAAGGAAGCCACCGCCCGCCCGGGTTCTGCTGCCCCTTCGCCGCTGCCCGCCCAACAATCGGGCCCCGCGCCGCGGGCTCGGCAGTCGCGCTCAAGCCTCGGCCCGGACACTAGATCACACAGGCACGCACACTTGACGCCAGCCCGTCCGGTCGACGTGCACCCCACAGGTTCCCAAATCCTCGCCCACCCGAGGGCACAGCCTGGGAACCCGGGCGGCGGTCACCTGGACGGACAGGAAGCCAGGCGAGGCCGCGGCGAGGCGCATGCGTGAGCACGCACACAGGGAGAAGCGCACATGCGCAGGACGCCGCCCGAAGCCCGTGGGACCCCTACTCGGACTCTATTTCCCAAAAGTCTGCGCGCCGCCGGACTTAGGGAACGATGCAAAGGTCTCTGCCTCGTCCTGCGGTTAAGAGTTGCTGTGCTAAGAGCCCTGGCCGCCGCGAACCCCAAGCTCGGTTTCGCATTTGTCTCCGGTCCCTTTCTGCTTCTAGCAGCGGGTTGAGTGGTTGGTCCCGGGAGCCCAGGTTCTCTCCTTCCTCAGAGCCTTCGGTAGGGACCCAAGTTCTGACAAACCGAAGAAGGGTGTGTCCTGCAGAAGTTTCTCAAAGGCTAGGCTACAGCAGATGTCCAGCGATGCTGTCCACGGAAGGGAAAGAAGACAGAAACCGTAGCTTTTCCAGATCGCACAAGTAATGTGCCCAAACTGCAAAAAGACAGCGCACACCAACTGAAAGGAACCACCTGTGACTGTGCCTGTACGAGAAGATCACGTTTAGAGTTAGGGACAAATGTCCATCCTCGAAAAGTAGACCATAAGTACAATGGGTTCTCACTAATTCGGGCTGAAATAATGTAACAGTTCTCTGGCCCAATTAGTTTTTAAAAGCTGGTGGGGGAAATAGTAAAAATAAAATCTGCCAACCCAGAAACTCCTCTGCACAAATGCAGAAAGTGAAGACAACCGTTTTTATCCCGAGGAAGCACTGAGCCAGACTGTGATGCGCATCCTAGGCGAACCACTAAGGAGACTGCAGGAGGACGCCTCACCTTTCTAATACCAAGCAGGGACCCTCCAGCCCGCGCACCCGGGCTCAGGATAAACTGCAGCACTTGACGCACCGTGGGCTCGCCATTCTCACAGGACTCATCCTGAGTTCATCTGGTAATCGAGGTGGTCGTCCGAGCTCTTGCCTTTATCCCAACGAAAAGCAAAACTTCTCACATCTCTGTGACAAGCAGGTAGATACAGCTCAGAGTAGGGTGCCTGCACCAAACTCCCAAGGTGACAGGGACATAGGGACGCTGTCTTCCTCAAGGTTTACATCTTAGAGAGATGACTCAGGCCTAGAAATGCATTCCTGGCTGGAATGCTGGCAAGCAGTTTATACCACTTTTTAAAAGATTTAGATGTGAATCAAAGGGAGACAGGAAATATTTCTAGGACCAGTTCTCTAAAGGAGAACCTCTGCAAAAGGGAGAAGAGAGACAGTCTCTACCTTTTGTCAACAAGCAAAATGTAATCTTTTATTTAATATTTATTAAGTTCTCAATTTACAATGCTGAGGATGGAACCCAGCTCAGCCAGCACTCTTCCACTGAGCCACACACCCAGTCCCATCTTAAAAACAAAACAAAAACCTATAAGATGCAAATAACAATGTCCAAGAATATGGTAAAAGTAAAGGCTAAAAATAATATATTCAGGATAATGAACACAATGTATTTTAACATAAAGATGCACTTTCACAAGAATATTTTAAATAATAAATCCATGTATGTGATAATTACAAAGTACTCCAGAATTCTTTTAACCTTTAAAAAAATTTTTTTAAGTTGGAGTTGAATACACAATGTCTTTATTTATTTGTATGGTACTGAGGATCGAACTCAGTGCCTTATACATGCTTGGAAGGGGTGCGCTACCCCTGAGCTAGCCCAGCCCCCTTTTAAAACTTTTATTTATTTTCATGCAGTGCTGACCTAACACGTGTTAGGCAAGCGCTCTACCTTTGAGCTACACTCCCAGCCCCATCCAAAAAGTTTTTTTAAAGGAAAATTACAATATAAAAAATATGATGTGCACTTAAGATAGGGCAAAAATCAAATCCCACATTCTCCAGCAGGTTTTTGTCTCGGTGGTGTTGGGTAAGTCAGGTAAGCTTTCCTTCTTGACCTGTAGTTGTAGGTCATTAAGTAGGTGATGACTGGTGTCAACCCCTTCAGTCTCAGCACCTGCCACCAGCCACCTGGATGAATAAGGCAAACATTTGACCCCACTCCAGTGCCTCCTTGAGCCCACAAAGCACCCCTGCACTCTGCACACCAATGCAGGTGTCAGATGGTTGTAGAAACATAGGTCCTTGTCCAGGAGCTAGATAGAATAAGGATCCACATGGGATGAGGCAGCTGGGAACCAAGATGGGGAAGCAGGTCAGAGTGAGCAATGGGAATGAAACCCAAGCTCTGGAATGAGGGTTTCCAGATGTTTGCTTGCAGCACAGAGGAGATGGAGAGGGGCCACCTTTGTAAAAAAGTTTCAGAGCAGGTGAATTTGGGGGCCCCAGCAGCAGACCCAAGCTTCAGCTCCACCTGTCACTTATGCTATGTGACTAGGGCAACTTTCTGAGCCCAGTTCTCTTATCTAACAAAAGAGGGACAAAGAATGAATCGAACAACTTATCTCTCCCAGCATTCTTTCCAGACAGGGTTTAACATTATTGTGGCTGACAAAGAGAGATTTTCGAGGACCAGCTCCATGATCACAGAATAATCAAAAGGGTGAATTTGCAACTGAGGGACAATGAAAGCATAATGGATGTATATTTACATCTATACGTCAGCACATCCAGCCCTTCATTTTGTCTTTAGACTGAAAATATTCTTTCATATGGATAAAACACATTTTTTTACCCATTCATCCACTGGAGGACATTGGTGTGGTTTTCCCTCTTTGGCTTCCGTGAATCATACCACTGTGAACATATGTGTACAGATCCTTTGGGTACCTGTCTTCGTTTCTTTGGGGATATATATGCAGGAGTAGAATTGCTGGATCACAGTGGGAGTCTATGTTTAACTTGTAGGGGAGCCACCAAACTGTTTCCACCATTTATAATTCCATGGGAAATGTTAAAGGAGTTTTAGTTTCTCTCTTTGCCAACATTTGTTATTTTCCATTTTGGTTATCATAGCCGTCCTTACAGCTGTGAAGTGGTTTCTCTTGGTGGTTTTGGTTTGTATTCCTAAATCAATCTTGGTTTTTGCTTGCAAAGGATTTGCCCCATCAGAGATAGCAACTTAATTCATTATTTTTAGCATTAACTTCTATTAAATTTTAAGTTTTTCTAGTATATAATCTATTTTCCAAACAAATTAGCAAATAGTCTCTTTTATTCATAGACTTGTGACACAACATATATCCCCACATGCAGTTTTGTTGGTAAGATATTAATGGAATTGTACCTATGATTATAATTCTTCATGATACTTGGTTTTATTTAATTTGTTACCTGGCATTAAATATCACCAAAAATCTCTGACAATTTCTCTAGTTTTAGGGTTAGCATTTGTATTTCAGATAACCTTTGCCAAATTGTATACAAAGGAACCCACTGGTAAGACCATAAAGCTATAGTTAGTATCTGTTGAACAATGTTTGTTTAGCTGATTTTGCATGGATTTGTGAAATGGATCCAAATTTCAAAGCTTCTGTTATTCAGCCTCCTAAACTCAGATTCAAACCTTCCCTGGAGTTGCCTCATGGAGCAAAGATGATGGATTTAACCAGGTTCAATTAAAGATCAAACAATTGGGAATTAGACTGTCTATAATCTATTACTTCTGCAGAAACTCTTATTTCCTATAGTCATCTGCTTTGCAACCAACCTCACCACTTTGCAGAGAAGCAGCCGAGGTAAGTCCAACACTCTACCCATATGCTTTGCAAAGCAGGAATCAAGAAAAATGACATACGCTTATTGGACAGAAAAATGTTTCAATAGCTAGAAAAAAACATCCTGAAGGAGACTGCACACACTCACAGCTGCAGATGCAGTTCCAGCAGCTCACACCACTAGTAATACCAGATGGGATTGAACGACTGCTGATACACCTCATTTTGGCTACTTGCATTACACAGTACTGTTTTGCAGGTATTTGACCTGGAGAGCAGATATCTTTAGCCAATCTTAATAAGACAATTTAGGCTGATTGACAGGTAACACTTCTAAAAATAGCAACTTTTAATCTAAAAATCTTCAGTTAATTTCGGGTAAAGATTTTAAATGAGGATTCACTAGGTGTAGTAGTATGGATCAGGAGTGTCCCTAAAGGCCCATGCATTGAATGTTTTGTCTACATCCTGGGGTGCTATTAGGAGTTGGTAAAGCTGAGAGTAGTGATGCACACCTGTAATCCCAGTGGCTTGGGAGGCTGAGGCAGGAGAATCGTGATTTCAAAGCTGGCCTCAGCAAAAAGCAAGGTTCTAAGCAACTCAGGGAGACCCTGTCTCCAAATAAAATACAAAATGGTGCTGGGGATGTGGCTCAGTGGCTGAATGCCCCTGAGTTCAATCCCTGCTATAAAAAAAAAGATGGTGGAAGTTTTAGGGTGGGCCTAGCTTTCGGGGCATGTCCTTGAGGGGATATGGAACCTTGGCCCCTTTCTGTTTCTCTCTTTGCTTCCTGTCTGCCATGAGATGAACAGACCTCCTGTGCCATATGCTTTACCATGATATACTGGGTACTGAGAAGCGCAAAATAAAAGAGCCAACTGACCTGGGGCTGAAACCTCTAAGCATGAGTCAAAATAACCTTTCCTCCTTTTAAGTTGGTTATCTCAGGTATTTTGCCACATTTAACAGAAAACAGACCAATATACTAGTCAGTTTGCTATAGAAACAACTCAGAAATCTCAGTGGCTTTGAACAACAAAGGTATAGTCTTGCACCACTGTATGTCTTCAGTGGCTGTTCAGGCTGTGTCTGTCTTTGGGTCCTTGAGAAACACAGGTCTTTGAAATGGCTGCATCTCCAACCCTGGTGGTGGCTATGCCGGACAGGGAGGCTTTCCCCAACTTGGTACTGGAAATACATCACTCTACCCTAAAAGCTAAACTCATGATTTGTATTACCAACACATTGGCAGGAATTATTCACTTAGTTTCACCAAACCACAAAGGATTCATGCAATGAAGACCTTCCCAAGGAAGTGGATTAAAAATTTTTGGTAAAACCCACCACAAATAAGAAAATTGCCGGCAGGGATCTAATTGTCTCTAGGTAGTTTTCTTATGCTTTAAATGCAGTAACCCACTTGCTACTTACAGAAGTTCTTTTTTTTTCATAAGAATCTTTGAAAATCATGTTTTAATATAAGGAAAATGCTTAAAA